AGGATATTGTACAATATAAATCTTTTTTTCTTCCATGAAAATACAATGGAAATTTTGAGATCAGCTTTATTTCTTTAATTGTATTGTAAGAATACTNAATTATTTTAGATATATGAAAAATTGATCTAGAAATTTTTGTAAAGAATCCAAGTTAATCCAAATCTTTTTTACAATTTTTATGCGTAAGAAACTATTTACATAATATGATGTCTCTGTCTATAATAAAACAATTTTCATAACTTTTAATNAAATTATTTTAGATATATGAAAAATTGATCTAGAAATTTTTGTAAAGAATCCAAGTTAATCCAAATCTTTTTTACAATTTTTATGCGTAAGAAACTATTTACATAATATGATGTCTCTGTCTATAATAAAACAATTTTCATAACTTTTAATGACACTCTTGCATTATCAGCTAAGAATATACACTGTGTATGCATACAACATGTAGGTTCCAAGTTATGTGAAGATCCCTGCATATATTTTGTATTGTATATAAATGATTACAAGTGACTATCACCCATCTAGGTGATATCTCTGTATGTTAAAGTAATACTTAAAAACGAAGAATAGTGGGATTCATGTTTGGAAAATGGATGTTTCCAGTGACTGCAATATTTAACAAGAAGTGATCCCCAGGCTTGACACTAATTTTTTGATGAGATTTTGTATAGTAGTAGAGTTCGAAAAACTGAAACTAAATGATACCCGTTTTTAAGTGCAGACGGTTTATGCTGTTTGAGATATTTAATGTTAAGGTTGTTAGTAGCGAAACCAGAAAGATAAGCTGGATATTTCTTATAAGCCGTTTGCACCTAAAACCTGGTATCAGTAGATTCAGTTTTAAGAGCTTCCATATAAAAAAGTGAGTGTCATGCCTGGGGACCTCTTCTTGTGAGTCTGTTTGTAACATAAAATTTTTATGCCATTATTCAGTCTCGTAATAAATGATTGCCATGACTTACATTGTTGCATTCATTTAAACCATAAAAGTTAAAGTCAATTATAATTAAAAACAAAACTAGAAATAAAATTAAACAAAATAGAAATATCGATTCTATTATGAAAATGTTAATTCTTTTTCGTTACATATCGATAAATCATGGCAGTCGATTATAAAAACGTTATTTCCAAAAAAATGCATTATATATAAAAAGAGGTTATTCGCCAACTTTAAAAAATTTAACTAATCGTTCTGAACTATGTTCTTAAAGCATAAGACTATTAGAAAATTCAATACAAATAAAAAATTCATTTGTTAACTGCTCTAAATGGGAGCACACCCTTAACACTAGCCAATCTTCTCATCCCATCTAATACTGTCATCTTTCCAAGATTCAACAAATTTCGGATCAATTGTTCATAATTTGTGAAATAGGGATTTGCTTCGACCATATACAGTAAATTCTCCCTAAAAGGCCCGGAGCTCGGAATTGAAAACAATAATCGCCGGACACTCAGGCACGAGTCTTCGAGCCTCGCGGCTTGTTTTTATAAAAACTCGGGGCAGTCGACAAAAAAAGGCAACGGACAGCATGCCGGTGTACATTAATATGAATACATAGTAATGCTAGAATGAAAACGACGACTTAACTTTTTTATATCTAATTTTTTGCCACGATTCGAAGGCAATTCGGAGGCCACATGCCACTATTCGAAGGCAATTCAGAGGCCACATGCCACGATTCGAAGGCAATTCAGAGGCCACATGCCACTATTCGAAGGCGATTCAGAGGCCACATGCCACTACTCGAAAACAATTCGAAGGCCATATGCCACTATTCGAAGGCAATTCGGAGGCCACATGCCACGATTCGAAGACAATTCGGAGGTCACATGCCACGATTCGACAGAGATTGGTCACGTACCTTGTAGCTCCGCGGTTTTTCTTACCTGACTTACACCCAAACAGACCATTTTGTGTCCGTCGAACCTTAGCATCGACGTAGCATTAATTATATAGGCGTAGGACTAACACAGGGAAATTCATAGCAACCCAAATTTTAGCATTTCCGGGAGAAACTACTGTATATGTACTGCTTCACAAAGATAAAAGCATAGAGATCAATGGGAACGAGAAGGAATAATAGCGATGTTTCTTGAGGCTTGAAACAGTGTTCAATAAACAAAGGACGATCGATAAATAACATTTCGATTTTTATATAAGTTTCCACAAATTGGTCGCTTATTGTATCTCTTTAACGTCCATTGCTAGTGTTCACTATTTTACCAATATGCCCTGATGAAAGCAAGACCGAACGTGTCTATTGTTTAACCGATTCTAGTTACAATTACGATAATTCAGGTTTTATCGAATTAATTTTCGATGCACCATTCAATTATTCAAATATTATCACATTTGGTTGTATTCACACTTATGAGATTTTATTCACCCGCTGACAAAAGATCCATGAGAGAATGTTCAGATATATAAATATATTTTGGAACACTGCTTTTAAATTTCAGACTCACAATTATCTGACGTTTCGATGGTTAACAAAATGAGGAAACTTAAAATTCGAAATTCCCGTTGTTCGAATTTTCTCAAGTATGAAGGAATATTACGTAAACTTGTAAGTATATTACAAAAAATTTAGGAAATCTGCTTGAAATTACTAAATCGCAATCGTTCTAACATCACATTTGTCATTGCATTTCTGTACATTCTTATACCGCTTGTACAAGAGGCCTTTTTTATTATGAAGGAAATCGTTCAAAATTATCGTCACTTTTCAGGGACGTAAAATAGATAATTTATGATTTCCATTTACTTAAACATTCACCTCGGTTTACCTCGGGCATATAACACGTTACCAGCTCCACGTTTCATATGTCGGTTATGTATAACTTAAAAAAAAATGTTATGTATAACTCAATACATGCGTTTAAAATTAAAATTAATTTGAAAATCGTTTTGATACTAGCACCAAAATAGTATAGCATACTAAGGAGTTTCTATATTTTGAACGTACGATCTGTAAACGTGTTAATTCGATAGTAACCCTGCCAGAATTTTGGTCTTTGAATGCGCATCTTCCCAGTTTTTGAAATGTTTATTTACGAAAATAGCATTCGTATCGGCATGCATTGACTATTAAACCATTGTCATCTCACAAAGGGTTATTCTGATTTAGACGGCAGACATTCCAGCCGATTTCAAAATCTTTTGTCTAGACAACGAAAATAGTTATAATCTCGATGCTTGACTCGCACCACTTTCAATTCAAACCCTCCAAGCTTCGACAATCGATTCAATTTCAAAAACTCGTTTGGCAGACATATTCATCAGACCCTGAAAACCACCCCCTCGCAGGGGGTACAGCACCATCGAGACTTCCAAAAGTTCGTTCTTTTTTATTGTTGATTGTTTAAAGAATGATCTGTGAACATCTTTAAAAAAATGTTTCTAAATCTGTGTAAACATTTATGGAAGTTATCGTATTATTCTGCCCCACATCCGTGGATCAAACGCTATAGAAGACGAATAAGATCATACAGCTGAAGCAGCCCTATTTGTATATTAGAGCCGTTTATCACGAAACATTTTTCAAGACATTGAGAGTTACATTTTAAAAAACGTTGAACATCATAACGAACGGATGGATACATTCACTATGAATTTAAACCGAAAGCGTAGAATGCTGTGTTCCGTAGAATAGAACTCGCGAATCATATCGAATCATTACAGAATGATTTATAGATTTTGCACTCCAATTTAATCCTTTTGTAAATCATATTCACCCATCTGTACTGACAATTAATCCTTTCACAGGTTGTGTTCATTTCTTTTTTTGCAAATCAAATTCATCAGTTCGTAAATAAAATTAATCCTCTCACAGATCAAAATTGGCCGTCTTCCATCCAATTTTTAAATCGAACCTGAACTTTATTACAAATAATTACGAATAAGTAAATTGAATTTTTCAAAAGAGTTAATTTCACTTGGAAGGATTATTTGTGACAAAGTTCGTATTCGGTTTAAAAATTGGATAGAAGACCCCAATTTTGATCTATAAGAGGGTTTGTTTTATTTGCAAGCACAACCTTCGAAAGGATTAATTTTCAGTGAAAAGGGCTGGATATGATCTGCAAAAGGATGAAAATGATCTACGAAAGGATTCATTTAAATCGCAAAAACCTGTATAAACGATCGACGAGCACTTTTTCGACAAAGATACGAAGGAAAATTGTTTCACGCATAGCATTCGCGAACGTTTGTACGAGCAGAGACTTCTATTCTCTAGCGGTGGCTACAAGAGATTGCTCACGACGGAACACGTGGCCTCTACAGACAGTAACAATACAGCCTCATATTGAATTCATCGACGCAGGCGCTCTGTTTGCCGTAGGCGTTTAATCTGCTAACAGACCCGACCAATTTGTTGCTGCTATCTTTACCCGTGTCCCGTACTGTCCCCTCGAATATCGCGTCGCCGGGTTCGGTTTGTATCGTTATCGTGTAATCGACGAGATCCGTTTTGTCGCTCTTGTCTTTCCACGCCTTCGCAGCCCTGATCTCCTTCAGCTTGAGAGTCGCGCATTGCGCGAATTTTTTCAGCTTCCGGTTCAGTTCGTCCACGAGGAACTGAGCCTTGTCCCGAAGATGCTTCTCCTCCAAGGGAACGTCGGCGCTGCTGTGGCACATGCACCAATGACTGGCGATGCCGGCCATGTCGCATGTCCGAAAATCCGGAATTGGTAGGAACCAACTGATCCCGCGTGGCGGCCGTGCCATCGACGAAAGCCTTCTGAAACGCTCCTTCAGGGCGGGTTCCTCCACGTTGGTCAACTGCAGTATGTCCATCAGCGTTTCGTGCAGGTCGAAAGCTGTCGTCAGCCTGTAGGCGTTCCTGCGGAGGTTGGCCCACGCTATTTGGTACTTGTCCTTCCACCAAGACGGCAACACGATGAACACAAACGGTAGACTGTCCTCCATCCTGCCTTGGTAGGTCTCCCGGAACTCGCCCCATCTGATTCCATGGTCGCTCATCACGATCAGCGCGGTGCGGTTGAGCAACTGTTCCTCGGACAGATACGAGACCAGGTCGTGATAAGAGTCGTCGCCTAATTGCGGGTAAGTGAAATAGTCGTGGGTCAAACTGGCCTGCCAGAACAGCCCGAAGTATGGGTCTTTGGCGAACTGCGTGGCAGCTTTCCGGCTGTAGTCCAGCAAGTTATCGAACGTCTTCCTGGTCCCGATGCACAGGTTCGCGTTCAATTTGTGCGTGTTGCCGATGTCCTTCTCCGAGGCGATGCAGAATGGCCTCCAATAGTAATCGGTCGGCTGCACCCGGAAGCCTGGTTTTAAGTAATTGAACGTTGTCATGCCGCAAGCGTCTTCGCCCAAGATGGTGCGGTAGCCGGCCGCGCTGAAATTCTTCCAGATGAACGGGCACCCGTCGAAGGTCTTCTCTTTCGACTGCCAGCAGAGATCGTGCACTTCTTTGTCCGATAGGCCGCCCAAAACAGCTACTAGATTCGGATAGGTGTTGTCTGCTACCTTCGTGTAACCCAGCATCTCCACCGCACCGAGCTTCTTCAGAGCGTTCACGGTTTTTGGCATCATCCGATGGAAGTTGTTCCTAGACACCGAGTCCAGGCCGATAATCAACAGGCTGAGGTACTCGGGCCTCGTATCAGCGATCCTCGAGCTTTCGTATTTCTCCTCTATCGATCGGAAACGTGGCAGGAAAGCGTGGTAGTCCTTGTATATCACCTTCTTGTCGCGGGAGCATTCGATCTTCACGAACTCGGCCCTGACAGTCGACGAATTCTGGAAGGTGAAACACTCGTTGCTGAATCTGCAAGTGAAAACAGTTTTATGTTTCAGCGTTTTCGATTGTTTTTTAGCGACAATGTATATACTCGACGAAAGCAGAGCGGAAAAAGTTACATAAATTATGGCAATACAAAGAATTTTCTACGCTGTTCAACCATTGTTTTAGTTCCGAAATATTTTAATACTATACCATCAAATGGAGAATAAAAATTAAAAATTTAATTAATTCTTAGGGAAGAGCACGATATTCTGTTTAAATCGGCCATTCTTGTACGTGCACATTTTGTTTCAATGCCTCTTGATCGTCGCCTTTTGTTTATTAATATTTAATTTATCATTATTCTAAAATAGTATTTCTCTACGCAGGGTGTATTCCCCACCAAAGGGCAATTTTAAATGTTTCGAGTTTCGGAGGACAATTAGAAGATAATAGAGTGTATGATCGTGTGTACGAAATGTCACATTATTCGAAGAGAAAGATTATTTGCTTTTTTTTTGGAAATTAAACAAATATTTTATTTATCAAAATATGCACGATTCGGCTGAACACATTTTTGCAAACTTTTTTTGCTTTTAGAGTTTCGATAAAAGAATCCTCCGTCAAGAAAGTCATAAAAAATTCCTTGGAATTTGTAATTTAATACTACGCAACCTAATACACATTAATATTTCAAATAAAGACGCTTTATAGCACACATCAAGCCAAGGTCGTACTAATGTGAACATTATTATCCTGAGCTGTTTTGTGACGCACAACATTAAAGAAAATCGAATTAAAAACAGATTTTTATTTTGAAGCAGTCAAACTATTTCAAAACTTGATTTACTGTTGTGTTTGAGGGTGGGGGGTTGTAGATGGGGCATGGTCCAGAGAGGTTTGGGAAACACTGTTCTAAACTGTGTATCGCCTACTTCGAATACCAAAACCGAACTAATCTTCCGAAAATTGTCATCTTTTCAGGACGAGCATACTCGACGTAAATATCGAAAGGGTTCAAAGACACGGAATGCTCGCCGAGCCGGTCGCGTGCATAGTTCGTTTATTACGATGCGCGTCGAGATTTCACTGGAGATCGATATATCTGTATCATGGAATACCTTTACAATACTTTCCCGTTGAAATTCGTGAAACAACGATTGCTTCGAAAACGGTACGTATCGTTATAGGTAAAAATGATGAGTCTTACTGACGTAACAATATTATCTTCGTCTTTCATTCGCCAGAAAGGTCGCCAACAGCAATTGACGTCCTCGGATTCGTTGTAAAAATGTTGTACCGCCTTCGGATTTATGTACACCGCTGTGCCGTTTGAGTCGACGAGCGGCAAATGAGTCCCGTGCTCGCAGACGATCGGTTTCTCCTTGCGAATGAATCGCTTGATCGCTGGATCAAAAGGATCCATCGCTGGGATCCGACAACCCTGGTTGTGTACCACGAAGCCGGAATTAGAGACAGGCGTGAAGTACGTCTTCAATTCCAAGTAGTTGTCTGCGAAAGAAACGAAAACAAAAGGTGAGCATGGGGAAACGCAACAACGTCCCATAGTGGTCATTTTTCCCAAAATGTTGGCCAAAATTTATTACTCTTATACGACGTTACGATAAGTGCTGATTTTAATATAACTTTTGAAAATGTTCACTAAGTTACGCAGTACAAATATGCATGTTGTACCAAATAAGTATTTACTAAGTATAAACAAGTTTCATATTTATAGTTAAAATAAAATTATATTTATAATTATATTTCATACAGTGCCCTAATTAATACTGTACGCACTTCGTGATTTTTGAGATAATATGTCGCTTTTTCTGTTTTTAATATTAACAATGACAGTATTAATATTACAGTATTAATTTAACAGTATTAATATTATGGCGACGATTGTCGACGGTCACTACTTGGCAGTTTAAAAGATTTTAAAAGCTTGCACAAACGAATAAAATTTTTCGCTTCAGTATTATAGTCGCCATCTTACTTTAAGCGATGAATCTTTCTAAAGCAGATCTTTCGATAACTATCGCAATTTTTTCTCTATCGTTATGTTATAACATGACAACGATTTAAGACATATCGAAGAAGCAGGCATTAGACTTAACTAAACAATGTTTTGAATTATTTCACTTTATGGATATGGTTTATTGAAGGATAAACTTTAGGCAACGCGAAGCAGTTAGTATAGTTGACGATCTATATCTCAGTAACTAGTCTGGATGTTTGAAAATTTCAAACGGTTTGTGGGTTAGGATCATAGCGACGATAGTCAGATTTTTCTCATTGTGAGAAACAAGGAATGTTATTGTTTACTGACACGCGTATTGTTTACCGACCAAATTTATTGTTAAGGAATTTAGAGTTAAGGTTATCTATAGCAACATAATTTATCTCACTTTCCTTTCTAACAATTCGGCACGTATAGATTACATTTTCACACATAAGTCAAAAGTTTCGTAAATGTGACTTACTCCACTATGATTCTAACACACACGTATTACAGCTATACTTGAAAAGATGAGTTTCTGACCAGCTTTTTGGGAATATGCGTCGGATTCTAGTTGAAAATTGTACATCTTCTTAGTTCGAAGTTTTGGAAATGCTTGGATTGCAACAAAGGAAATAATTTCACGAATCGACAGCAACGTCGTTTAACACTAAACCTGCCATATCGGTCATTTTGATCGGACTCGCATTTTTAATTTTAAGACTGTCGACATTATAAAGACGCTTTTACAGCGAACGGTTGAATAGATTTCTTGATTATAGCATACGTTAAAATAAAAATGGCGAAATGTTTAAATAAATTCAGGTCTTCTCGTTCTTATAAAATAACACATGCCGGTCTCTTTCATTACTCGACAGGTTTAGTATTAAGTGCTCCGTTTAGATATCACGTTCTAAAATGATCTTTCGCGGGAATGTACAATACACACAAGTAGTATCAGCAAACGATTACTCTGACCTAATCGATCACGAGTTATCTTGCCCTTTGAAATTGATTTAACGCACTGATCTTCGCTTGTTTAAATTTCTAAACGTGCGGGATGTATACAAATTATAAGTCACGGCCACCGTAGCGAGATTCTGCATCTCTGGACCGGCGGAGATCAGCTAAAAAAGATGGACGGCGAAATTGTCCTTGACCTTGAACATCGACTGTGAAAGGGTCCAATTTATTTTTTATTGCAACGTATAGGTTTTCGAGAAAAAAATTAAACTGAAAAAATAATACTATCGAAATATAATACTAACAATATAATACTAATAAATATATACTAACTGAAATAATAAAACTATACTAATATATCAAGTGGTGTGTCTGACCATGACATAGCAATTCTACTTCTCGCCACGTGAACTCGATGCATCTTCCAACTTAGTTTTCTCGAAAACGAAGCCTTAAGTGAAGAAATGTTACTAATTTTTGGACCTAATTTTGCATGTAGAATCACTAACCGGCCGGTTGTACCACGATTTTGGGTGTGAAGATCGTGACATATTTTTATATGTCGTTTTTAACATCGTTTTTTACATAAAGGGTTAAATTAAGTTAAAAAAAAGGATTAACTCGAGATCCATGGTTCCTTTCAGACTTTTGTTCCTCTCAATGAGTACTATACGTTGCATTAGAAAAAAATGCAACCCTTCGACCTTGATTTTCAAGGTCAAGGACAATATTGCGGTTCATCTGTTTGAGCAGATTTTCATCTATTCAGAAGCGCTAGAATTTTTATGCGTATAATTTTCATACATCCTGTACATATTGGCAAGATAAAAAACAATGTATACTGTATACCTTGAGATGTGATGTTTAGAATAGATCCGAAGTGCGCGGTCGGAAATTGGTCCGTGGTATAGGTGTTTATGATGACCAGGGATGTTAGCAGAAAAATTAGAATGCCTATTAGCCATCTCCGCGGCCGTAGCCGAGACTTGTAAATCTTACTGTCGAACTCGTAATTGAAAATGCCACGCTGGTCATCTTGCACTCTCTCGCCGCCGCGTAACAGTACCTAAATATAAAGTATGATAATATTAATAATATAAAATATTGTCGAACCTAATCGTTGTTCAGAAATTATATAGCATAGTCGATATATTGAAATCAAACATGATTTTATAGATAATTGAATGCGCGTCAGATCGGTTTTCTTTAAAACTCGTTGACTATCGCATCAAACAAAAAATAGAAAATGCAACAAGAATTTCATCCACGTATGTAAGACTTAATCGCGTAATTTGAAACATACATGGTGTCCCATATTTATGTTAACACCCGGAAAGGGATAATTCCTGAGGTCATTTGAAGTAACTTTTTCCTTAGCGAAAATGCAATCCGTGGCCTTGTTTACGAATTATTAACGAAAAACACCGACCAATGAGAGGCGAGCTTGGCTGGCGAGAGCCTGATCTCGCCTCTCATTGGTTACTGTTTTTTTTCGTTAATAACTCGTAAACGAAGCCGCGAATTGTATTTCCGCTGAGGAAAATGTTACTTAAAATGACCTCAGGAATCACCCCTTTCCGGGTGTTAATACAATTATGGGACACCCTGTATATACAGTGTCATTCGAATACTTGTCTTCGCGCAAATTCGACACGCAAATGCCTTATGACACTCAGATAATATTTTTTATTGGTCGTTTGACCGTTTGGAAGTAATTCCGAATGAATAACACCACAATAATCGAAGAAAACGGTTAGCGTGATCATAATTTTTGAGCATCTCTGACGCAGTTTTTGGGTTTCCATTCAATTTTGAAATGTAAGGATGGTATNTTCATCTATTCAGAAGCGCTAGAATTTTTATGCGTATAATTTTCATACATCCTGTACATATTGGCAAGATAAAAAACAATGTATACTGTATACCTTGAGATGTGATGTTTAGAATAGATCCGAAGTGCGCGGTCGGAAATTGGTCCGTGGTATAGGTGTTTATGATGACCAGGGATGTTAGCAGAAAAATTAGAATGCCTATTAGCCATCTCCGCGGCCGTAGCCGAGACTTGTAAATCTTACTGTCGAACTCGTAATTGAAAATGCCACGCTGGTCATCTTGCACTCTCTCGCCGCCGCGTAACAGTACCTAAATATAAAGTATGATAATATTAATAATATAAAATATTGTCGAACCTAATCGTTGTTCAGAAATTATATAGCATAGTCGATATATTGAAATCAAACATGATTTTATAGATAATTGAATGCGCGTCAGATCGGTTTTCTTTAAAACTCGTTGACTATCGCATCAAACAAAAAATAGAAAATGCAACAAGAATTTCATCCACGTATGTAAGACTTAATCGCGTAATTTGAAACATACATGGTGTCCCATATTTATGTTAACACCCGGAAAGGGATAATTCCTGAGGTCATTTGAAGTAACTTTTTCCTTAGCGAAAATGCAATCCGTGGCCTTGTTTACGAATTATTAACGAAAAACACCGACCAATGAGAGGCGAGCTTGGCTGGCGAGAGCCTGATCTCGCCTCTCATTGGTTACTGTTTTTTTTCGTTAATAACTCGTAAACGAAGCCGCGAATTGTATTTCCGCTGAGGAAAATGTTACTTAAAATGACCTCAGGAATCACCCCTTTCCGGGTGTTAATACAATTATGGGACACCCTGTATATACAGTGTCATTCGAATACTTGTCTTCGCGCAAATTCGACACGCAAATGCCTTATGACACTCAGATAATATTTTTTATTGGTCGTTTGACCGTTTGGAAGTAATTCCGAATGAATAACACCACAATAATCGAAGAAAACGGTTAGCGTGATCATAATTTTTGAGCATCTCTGACGCAGTTTTTGGGTTTCCATTCAATTTTGAAATGTAAGGATGGTATGAATGTGAGTTTGTGAGAGCCTTTGTCTAGAGGAAATAAGCGTTCTCACTAGTGTCGATGATCGGCATGTACATATGTATACAGGGTGTCTCACGCAACTTGCACACCTTTGTAGTTTTCAAAGTATACGTTGCACGAAAAAGTTTCGTATACAGAAGTTGCATGATTTATAAGAGTTCGTTATGTAGTGTATTTATTATACTTTTATTATACTTTTATTATACTTTTATTATACTTTTATTATACTATTATACTTAAAATACGTATTAATTTATTTAATTTATGTAAAATATATGAAAGAATGTCGAATTCCGAGTAAAAAAGTATGGACCTCCATTAGTCCTAAATGCAATAATCAACGAGAAATTTCACTTTATGTCACGAAATCATCTTGCTGTATGTACGCCGTAATTATAAACCCATGTTTCATATCACCATTTATGATGCATTTCATGAACGCAGAGTCGCCGGAGATCGCCACGAGAAATATCGTTAAAAATGCACAAATTCAAACGAATTCTTTGCTCGACCGTTTTTTTCCGTCGTAAAAACTGCAGAATACACTTGAGGTCGACTGACACGAACAGCTGCTTTAAACACAATGGTTGATGGATCGCGATCGTATTTAGCGCCACAATTCAGCGGTGTTTACTTGCATTCAAAAAATTGTTTCGATACATGCACTGCGGAACTTTAGAATGAGAAGTTCATATCATATCATCGAAATTGGTTGACACAGAGTCGAGCGACAGTCATTGAACGATAATAAAATCACTCAATTTCTTACAGTTTTCGCGAGGTTTTCAGTACGGGTGTATGTTGCCGAGACCTAAAAATTGCGTTGTTTAAATTTTGATTGTGTGCCCACGGAAAAAAGCTAAAAGACGCGTTTATTTTTTATTTCTTTTATCATTCCACCCAATTGCTTTGGCTTGGCCAAATTCTTTGGTCCCATTTTAGAAGGTGTCCACATACATTTGTTCACATTTTGTCATCCACACATTTGCAAAAATTTTCCTACACGTTTTCTCGTAAACTGATCCGTTTGGTCTAATGTTAGAAGAATTACTCTGTTTTCAAATGTGTATACTATTTCTTTCTCTAGGTGTGTGTGTGTGGGGGGGGGGGGTGCACAAAATATCCGTACGCCTTTTAAAGCGGGATGGTTTTTTTAGAAATTGGATCAAAGGACTTAATATTTTTTTAGGTATTAAAAGGACTCGTTTACTAGATGACTAATACAATTTTCACAAACCTTGCGAATGGTTAAGATGACAGAAATAATAAAACAGTTTTGTGTTTTATACAGAGATGTTAGTATTTTCATTTATTAAAAATTTTATTTTTATTGTGAGAGACTTATTCTTATTAATTACTGCTGCTATTCTCATCACTTGTCAAGCAGTTCTCTAAACATGAAACCGAGTTTCACTAGTTTCATGCATTACAGTTTTTTCTTTCTTGTATTAATAATGAAAGCAAAGTCTGTCTTTTCTACTGACTGTTGGAACAGAAACTGACTATTGTGCACATTTTTCTTGAATAAATGAACACACACACACACACACACAAGTGGCAAGGAGTAGGGAATGTTGAATTGCTAATCAAGGAAGTCGAGTGTGCGCCTAGAACGATCGCAGTTATATTAGCAGAGCGTCAATTTTGGAATCTTCAAGTTTTAAGGGGATGATGGGGAGGGGGGCATTCAGCTGAAAATCGATCACTGAAAATTAGTTTTATGCATTCCGCTTATGTTCACGTAGTATGGGATATAGGTCAAAACCAGTAGATCCGATAAAGAATTTCCATATGTAATACGCATCACGTAACAATATATACGGTGTTTCTTTTATCCTGCACATTCAAATATCTTCGTTAATTTTGATTATATGAAAAAATGTACCGTAACAAATTTGTTTGTTCCATAGTTAGGAATATTATGATTGATGGTTTTTTTCTTTCAAGATCATTTTTCCCGAATTTTGATCATCGTCATCGCTTCTTGCGTATTAGCACCTATTATTTATAATACAGCATTGTAGTGCATATCAAGGCGATAATTTGTTCCCCGAAAAAAGTTTTCTTGTTACTCAAACATGGAAGTTGCAAGATTAATTTGTGCATAATTCGATTCTGTATAAAACTTGCCGAAAGAAACTGCACCCAGTATGATATCGATAAAACGCATACAAAATTGATCTTAAAAATAAATCGACACAACCTAAGTAGTTAAAGGAAGTAACAATCTTCTATTCGATCCATATTTGTTGCAATTTATGAAGATGATCTTTATTTTGTCTAAAGATCCGCAGTCTACCGATGACATTGGCAAGGGAAAATCCCGAGAAGGTAGTAAATTCTCTCCAATTGTCTTTCAGCTTGTAAACAAAAATGGGCAATTTTATAATTGTTGACAATCGGCGACTATAAAAGCGTGTTGCGTGGCTCGAATATCTATCTCCTATATCTATCTCTAAGTATCTCCACTTCCAGAATTGTCCATTTTTGTTTACAGCTGAGGGACAATTGAAGAGAATAAACATTGCAGTTCGCAATTTTTGAACGAAGGAAAACAGAACTGAAGATATAATTTAGCAATGTTGAAATTAATTTTTGAAGCGAATTTTTATTGTTCCTTACAGTTTGAACTGTTACTTAACGAAAAAAATTCTTAAATTTACTATTACTTAATGAAATTACTTATAATAAATGTGTTCTTGTAATAAATTACTTATACTTAATTGTTGTTTGGCCAGATTTTGAGCGTTCTTGCACACTGTGTAGCGTCCGCCGGCCGAGAGTTAACGATATCTCAGCGTTGATCGTGGTAATTAATGATATTTACATTGAACAATTAATATTTCTGTTGGGAAAATGTATTAAAGTACTATTATTTACTGTTCACGTCGATGGAAATAATTTCTGAACATTGTTCGGACAATATTTACATTGGGTGTAAATATTATACTATTGTTAACTGGAAGACAAACAACGAAAAGGTGTATGTTTGCTCAATCATGCTGTTATTCTCGAAAAGGTAAAAATGCGGTACAAACAGCAAGAAATTCTGCTGTTCATTAGCGTGATTGGAAAGGTGTTGTGCATTAGGAGTTACTGCCATCTAACTCCGCTAGCTATGAATAGCACTGCGCTCATCTCGACAATCCCATTGTGGCAATCGTCCGGAAACAACCGAAATTAATTAACGGGCACGGTGTTATTTATCACCACGATAAGACCGCGGAGCTCTTCGAGTTTGCCGAATGAATTATCAACGTTTGATTGGGATGTTACATCACGTCCTCCTTTCATTTCGGACCTCGCTACTACAAGATTGCCATCTATTTCTATAATTAAACAACTTCCCGTTTGCTATCTTATCGCTAAATCAGTCTTGTGTGTATGCCGTAATAAAAAAACACGACATTTCGTACGATCTATTCGACCATTAAAAACGAGAGAAGAACTTTTATGAGAATCTAATATTTTTTCGAAAGATTCGACACTTTTCTCTATTAACGTGTCTCAATGACTGTGCCATGTAATGACTTTTGCTCTCGTGAGCCCCTCGCAAGAGTAGCTTCCGTGTATCCACTTAAAACTAAAATGCTTCCTTTTTAATTTTGCTAGTGCTAAAAAAAGCTCTCATTTTTTAACTTTTTTATCTAAGCCTATAAAGAAAATTTGAAAAATGACTTTCGTAGATCTCGGTAAAATAAAAAAGAAATGCATAGAATCGTGGGGCAAGTATGTATTGTCAACTTTTAGCACTATCGATAACCATAAAAATTCTAAAACTTATGTTAAATCATTAGAAACTACGCAAAAAAACAAATAAAAATGCGTCCGCGAGTTCCACCGGTGAGAGCACAAGTACTGTAATTATTTAGGAACTATGTATTCGAAATAAGTTTCGAGTAGCGGAACTCTCGAGTCGACAGCAGAAGAGAGCGCAGAGCTATGGACCTTTCACCTTTTCCATTGGAAACTTTGATTTCGCCGGTGCTTCTTGCCCACTTCTGATACCGTGGCCACTTAAATTTTTCAGTTGTATCGTGCGATAAATACTTCTTATAAATATTTTCCACTACATTTTTGGACATATAGCATACTTTCGCGTTATCGCATGATAATTTAATCTTTCGAAGCAGTCTAATCAATCAGGAGACAAATTTGTGATATGGAATTTCTTTCTTTTCGGACATTGTGTAAATTGTTCTGTCTTGTACTACATG